TCACGCACAGTCCGGGCCGACAGCTGGAGGTCTCCGTCCTGACCGCTCACGGTGATTGTGACCTCCCTGGAGTCAGGATCTTGCTGGCACATATCGTTCGTCCATGCTAGCGTTAATGGCCTACATGGCCCTTCTGCGCCCACCTGCTTTGCGGTGTCTGAATCCAGCAGGGTGACCGTTGATGCTTCATCCAGTAGTGCGGCCGTGTTCACCACACCTTTCGGTCCGCGGATTGCTACCGGCACTGTCCTCAGAACGACTCTGCTTTGCTGCTGGGCGCTAGCTAGGTTCGTGCGTTCGACATCGTCCTTCCTCTTTGGTGGGTGCAGCATCGGATGGTGAAGCCGGTCACAGCCATCCTTCTTACAGGGTGTACTGTCAGGGCACTCTCTAGTGCGGTGGCCCTGGCCAAGGCAGGTGAAGCATCGTCGTTCTGTCTTGACCCATCTCCAGCGTTCGTTGCTCGTCTTGCGTGCGAATTCTCGGCACTCAGCCACCTTGTGGCCTGCCCGTCCGCAGAAGTCGCACTTTCTCTCGCTGGCCACGAAGGCAGTCTGCCGCTGGCCACTCTGTCGAGCAGTCGGTGGCGGCTTCATATTGCTGCCTGTTGACACACACTTTGCTGCCGTCGTGTCGAGTCTCCGAACACAACAGAGCGCATCTGCTCTCTTTGCGAGCCACTCTGCCAGTGTTTTCATTGTCACTGGATCTTTGCATTCTGCTACGTGCTCTCCCCATTGACGGGTCAAGCTGCTCGGTAGTTTCTGCACGATCTCCTGGCGGAGCTGCGGGTTAGCTAAGTGGCCTGAGCTCTTGAGGAGCTCCATGGTCGACACCAAGTTGCTAACCGAGTTCGCCAAGTCAATAAGCTGCTCGAAGTCGTCGTCTCGCAACTTAGGCATGGTCTTGACCTGGGCAATCATGGACTGGACCACATGGTCCGGCTGGCCGAACCGCATCTGGAGAGTGTGCATCACTCGATCAATGTTGTCCGGTACGACGAGCATTGACTTCACACTGTCCAAAGCCTTTCCCTTCAAGGCTCTCTGCAGACGGGTCATATTCTCCTGGTTGGAGAAACCACACTCTGCAGTGGAGGCCGTAAACGTCCGGTTGAACATCGGCCATGCTGTCGGATCACCGTTGAAGGCCGGCAGGTCTTTTGTGGCTGATTGTCTAGCCATCATTCTCCGCAGGTCCTTGTCCGAGGTGTTCTGGTGGGCTGGAGTGGTCGCCCTTGGTGGCGTCAGCTTGCCCGACAATACCTGGGCCAGCTGTGACACTGCCGATGCAACAGCTGTCTGTATGCTGTCACCTGATGTGGCCTGCGTCTGCAGGCTAGCAGGACCATCAGTACTTGCTGGTCGTTTCGGGGGTCCATCGTCACGGCACCCTGCTCCCACGCTCTTGGACGAAGGTAGATCGCATGTGGGGGTGTCAGCACCGGCCGCACCATGTGGCTCACTTTGCGCTTTAGTCTGCAGCTCGCGTCTTTCCCGGTTGGAAGGTGCCATGTCCACCTGCATGACTGCTAGTTGAGCTCTGGTCTCCTCCAGCTCGTACTCTAGATTCTGCACTTGGTCCTCCAGGTCGCATGACGTGCTGGTGAGCAGGCTGATGCGATGGTCTCTGGCTACCAAGTCACTTTGGAGACGGTCGTTGCTTGCTTCGGCCTTGGCAAGATCTCCCTCCAGGGACTTGATCACCTGCACCTGGTCAGCATGCCTCGCGTCTTCCTGGAAGATCCGCTGCTTCAGGGTTGCAATCGTCTGTTGCTGTAGCTGGAGTTCGTCTTTCAGTCGTCTTTTTTCTTCAAGCTCCACAGTGAGCTTGTCGTCATACGCTCGCTCAATGGAGCCAGTGTTCTGTCGGCATAACTTCAGCTGCCCCTCCAACTCCTGGATCCTTATCTCCGCAGCACACAGAGGCTGCACAAGGCTGGTGGCTGGAATTACTGCTGGAGTAGCCGCGTCATGTGGGTCACTGTCCGTGTACCCCTGGGCTGGCATGACACTTTGAGCCACTTCGACCTCCTCGTGCTGTGGGTGCTGTTCTGCGTCTTGAGCAGATACTGGTTCTTCACCGTCCCTCACGAAGTAGTGTGACCCTCTCGCTGTGGCCGTAGTCGAGCACGGGTGCTGCTGTGCCTCCGTTGTCGACCTCCTCGTCGGCCTGAATCGCCGCCAGGTCCGCGGCGAGCTGGAGATTGGAGAGTCTCTTCTCGCTTTCCAGCCTATGGCTTCTCGCCTCCTCTTCACGCTGCGCTGCCACCAGCTCCGCTTTCCGCTTCCTGGCTTCAGCAGCACTGCTCGAAGAGCGTCGAGAAACACTCGAGAATCGGCCCAGTGTCGAGGAGGAGATACTTTCGGTTTCCTCCGCGACGCTGCCTGCGACAACGTTACTGATATTGTCGCTCCTGCTGCAACAAGTCGGCTTCACTTTCCGGCCTTTGGTCTCACGTTGAGATCGCCTGAGCTGTTCACTGTGCCGCTTGTCGACGTCCATTATCTTTCCGTCCGGCTGGTTCGAATCCGGCTCTCGAAGGACCAATGTTTTTACCTCTCGTCTTGATTCACCATTCCACAAACGTAACGTCGTTACTGTATTATTAGAAGACTGTATTATTACTCTTTCATTCTCATGCCAAACAGCTAACTCATACTAAAACAAGAATGACCAAAAACTAATGACCTGCACCACCGAAGCAGGAACCTAAAAACTCTAACACACCAAGGAAAACAAGCCCCTCTACCCTACGGATCACGGACTACCGATCCTAGCGTAGCGGCAAATGATACATACTAGTACAAGTCGATGACAAAGCGGTGCCGGTGTTAGGTGACCTGGTGACAGCTGCATACGAATTAGGGCTCAAACGGTCACGGTTTTACCCCTGACGATTAACTGCTAAGCTAACGGTCGGTTAACCGGTTATAACCTATAAGCCACGGCAATCCTGCGGACTCTTTTTTAACCGTATATTTGACTATACTCATTCAAAAAATGTACCCTGTTCAGTACAACGCGCACTTGTGCATTCTCTTGCATGCTCATTCATACATACTCTCACAGCAAGTGACCAGATATGACCGAGTTGACAGCCCAGAAATTGCGTACCCGTGCGACAGCCCGCGAAAGTGCACACTTTGCAACGACCTGATACTTGAAAAATTGACTGAAAAGTTACTGCGCAACCGTTATCTTTATCGGTTAACCGTTAATTCTTCGTAACCGGTCTGAAACCGGTTAATCGGACTAATCGTTTGAGCCCTAATACGAATGCATGAAAGGGGTCAGACAGTTCATGATTGTATCATGTGTAGTTCTACCGGCAGTTGTAACTGGAGCCGACTGAATATCAATACATCAATAGCAGTGTTAGTCATACATAAAGCCCAGACTACAGAAAGTGTAGCAGTGGATGCAAAGTAAGTACTTAGTTGCATACGACGGGTGTTGCTTGTCGCCAACGTCGTCTACGGGGGCAACAGTGACTTTGAAAGTGATCCACCAACTCAACCAAGGGCGTAGTCAAGCGTTCTGCACGAAGGAGAATCGCGGATGTGGAGTGAAGGAACTGGCATCTCGCGGAGTGCCTGACATACAGTACAATCATGTAACTAGTAAACACCATTATGTACAGGCGCCCTTCCAGTCGGAGAAATGAAGGGAGAAAAGGGGCGACAATGATTAGCACAGGACACAGAACACAATACTGCTACACCATGGCGAGGCTGCGTCAGAGTACTGAATGTAGTCCTCGAGACGAGACATGTGGACAAAGAAGTTTGTCCCTGGCAGACCAGGGAACCAGGAAGGTCTTAGATCTGGAACCCTGGACATTATGTCTTGCTTACGGAGGCAGGGTCGAACACAGCACGTACCTTCAGGAGTTGATAGCAGTTGAATACGGACAGACTGCGAGGCTCCGAGATGAACAGGGAGCCTGAGTCAAAGCCATCAACACGGTGACGTGCTGCGTCAGATGTTTCCGAGGCAATTGGGATTGAATCCCTAAGCCTGCAGAACCTCCAGAACATTGGCAACACGCCATGTCCTGGCAGGCCAGCAGTAGTAGATGTCGGGCATCAAATGGGTGGTCACTACATCAGCCTGACCAAGACTCCGAGAGGCTCTCTCTCTCTCTCTCTCTCTCTCTCTCTCACTTTCTCTCTCTCTCTCTCTCTCTCTCTCTCTCTCTCTCTCTCTCTCTCTCTCACAAACTTTCTCTCTCTCTCTCTCTCTCTCTCTCTCTCTCTCACAAACTCTCTCTCTCTCTCTCTCTCTCTCTCTCTCTTCTCTCTCTCTCTCTCTCTCTCTCTCTCTCTCTCTCTCTCTCTCTCTCTCTCTCTCTCTCTCTCTCTCTCTCTCTCTCTCTCTCTCTCTCTCTCTCTCTCTCCCCCCCCTGTTTGCTCGCAGTTATTAGTATCCTATTCTCTTACTATGTGCTTCCATAGCCTTTACTTTGTTCTTCCATAGCCACTTCTAGGCCAAGCCTTCGCCGTCATTTTATTGGGTTGTCATCCCGTTTGAATGTGCGAAGTGAAATATAAACCAAACCAACCTTTTCGAGCATTATCCGCACACCCCTACCAGTGGCCATGCAGCCGTACTCCTCGTAGCACGTATCGCTGCTGCTGGTCGCATGATCCTCGCCTCGGATCATCATGATTCAGATTGTGCACGGCATGCAACGACTCACGTTCTGTAGGCGCTGAGGGCGCCGGCCCCGGTCAATCGACCGGATTTCCATGTCCGATACAGACCTGTAGATAGCGCCGCGACTCCGACCATGGCGGCGGGTCCCATGACTACGACTCGTAGTCAGTCTGTACTGTGCACGTGTGCATATGTGGTGATCTTGGGTGATGCATGCACGATGCATGGCGAGCCGCTGCATCATCATGCTTCCGATCGAGTCCAACGCCACTGACTGCCTGGCAAAACTAGTCCTGTGTAAAACTAAAAGTGTGTTGTCCTACATCAGTACAATCATCATGTCATTATTATTACAATAATTATTAGGCTACGGTCCGGACGTCGACGCGACGGGCACGCACGGCAAGCCGTGCACGCGTGATCAACGATTTCGAACAAGCCGGAGCCTAGTTACAACAGTACAGTACACAAAATTGTGGAAAGCAGACACAACGGCTCGGATGTTGTGTTCTATATTATGGTTGGCAATAGCGGTGGAAGTACTACTAGTTGTAACGGGAGCTCGCCCCGTCTGGCTTGGGCAGTGGCATAGGCTGTGAAAGGCAATGTCCTGGGCCGACAGACAGCATCGCTATGATGGAAACCAGCCAAAGGAGGAGATGTCCAATCGATGGTCATGCTGTGGCTGTGGTGGGGAGCTGCTGGATGCCAGGTTATTGCCTTGTTTACATTCAGTTTGTATGAAGTGCAGGGCCGCTGGCACAGCAAGGAACAAAGATGGATCGTTCACCTGCGGGACATGTGCCTACATCGTTGGTCCTCGCCAAATGGACACTCTGCAAGTGGACTATTTGGCGGTGGACTATGTGGCGCTGCAGAAACTGCGTAATCCACACCAGTCCAACAACTGCGACGAGTGTGTTGATCCAGAAATAGCCAGCCATCGCTGTGTCAGTTGTAGTCAGTTTCTGTGCACTTTCCATGAAACAGCTCATAGACGTAGCAAAGCTACTCATGATCATAAAACCATTCCTCTCAGCCAACTCCAGTCATCCAGGGCAGCAACTGCTACTGGTGGAAAGGTACCCGTTGATATTGCTGAACTGGCTGTAGCACGCAGTCCATTGATGTGTGTCCATCACAAACAGAAAGAACTGGAGCTGTATTGTGAGAGCTGTTCTCAGTGTATATGCAGAGATTGTGTATTGGTGGATCACAAATCGCATGAATACACGTTCATACCAAACGCCATCAAAAGAATGAAGATGTGGAAGGATGTTCCACATTTGGACCAGATGGTGACACAGTTTGAAGCCACACTGAGGAGCATCGAGTGGTCCAAGGAGATTCTCGCCACCAATTTTCATGCAACGAGCAAGAACATGGAGAAAGCTGCAATTGAAGCCAAGCAACGTGTTGATGCTCGACTGAAGGAGCTCCTTTCAGATGTGGACAGAGTCTACCAAAAGAAGAGCATTGCTCTGGAGAATCAAGAGATAGCATTGAAACAACTGCAGGAGAATGTGATGTGTGCGTCAGATTTTGCGAAGTCAATGGTGGAATGCGCCAGCCCATCGCAGCGACTTATCCTGAACGGCTTAGTGGATGCTCGTTTGAAGAGCTTGCTGCAGGCCTCGCGGAAAGAGTCCACCCTCGCCCATGATGACGGATCTTTATCAGCAGTGCTTGATCTCTCTGATGTAAAGGATTCTCTGAAGCAGTTTGGTCGCGTGGCGTCCACAGTCGCAAGTGGAGAGAGCAGCCTACGTCTTCCAGCTAACTGCTATACTGGCCTACCCGTCACAGCCACTGTCAACCTGGCAGATGCAAGCGGACACCCTACATCAAATATCAACAGCGGTGCTATCAGCTGCACAGTTTGTGCTCCCGATGGCAGAGTTCGAAAAGTAATCTGCGTTACTGTTGAGAGCTGCAGAGCCATTTTCAACTTCATCCCCGCATGCGGACCAGGCAAATACGCTGTGAATGCTACCATTGCTGGACTTCCCGCTAAAGCTTCGCCAGCCATTGCCAATGTGTTGAAACCACCATGGATCTTCGGTTACATTTCCAAATCATACGCACTGAGCCTGACCCATGGAGTCAAAGATACCGGCATCCAGCTGTCCTCGACTGGGCTACACGCTAAAGTTGAGGATGAGGAGGAACAAGCGGAAACGGGTCAACGAAGACGTGCGGGGATGGCCTACCGAAACCAGCAGTGCAGAACAGACACACCACAAAGGCTGATTGCTGCAGCGAAGGAGATACCTAAAATGGCCAATGGACCTGCAATAATGTGGTGTATCAAGTTTGAACTGCCCAATGTCGGCAAGGGAGAAGAGATCTCAGACCCGGCAATCGGTGTTGGATTCTTTGTGAACGCACAATCAGAGAACAGGTTGGCTTCGGTTAACTTTGGGGATGACTTCAATGACCATGGCAGCGGTGCTGTAACTCTCTTCTCAACGGGGAATGCTGTGTGTGGTCAGACGCGGTGCTACAACCCACCTCGTACCTGTCATCATACCGATGATGGAGATGCTGAACCAAAGTTCAAATTCCGTAACGGTGATGAACTGCGCCTGGAGTATATCACTGAAAGTGACTTTCTGGTCGTCACACAAGCATCCAGTGATGTCAAGTATGTCATTGACGTTCAGAAATCATCAAGGAAAGTCCTTCCAGTTGCCAGTGACATCAACACGGCATTTGAGCAACTCCAGCTGCCCGAGCAGGGTCCGAACTACGGCGGTCAGGTTCGTCGCAAAGTTAGAACCAGCCACCCTCCAGCATGTAGGACTCGACCTGCGCGTTCTCAGCAGTTTGGTGCGATTTCAAGCATCTGTCCGGCTGTGTGGCTGTCAGCCAAATTTGCCGGAGACGTTTACCTGTCGTTTCCGGCTGATTAGTGCAACTCAGTTGTTCAGCTACAGCCGGTGAAACCCACGCCAGGATGTGAGAACTAACTTCAATGTTTGAATACAAGTTCAAGTATGATCCATTTCATCATTTTTACTTCATCCCTTGATGCAACACACTATCACATGTACGAAGTGTTTTTTTGCATCTATATCTACATATATCTACATGTACATGAATTACACTCCTGTACAAGTATATTTACAGTGCGTTTGAGAATTGGACTGAGGCATATGGAAAAATCATGTTTGTGATATGTGTCATGTGATACCAATCATACCATCACTGCTCTCACCGTCGATTTAGTTTAGTGCCTGGCAGCCTGGCACCTTTTTTACTACTGTTCAACGACTACAATTTACTTGTAGTTAATTTTCCCCCAGAGAAGTGCTGACCAGTCCGCTCAATATTACTGATTACTTCTGTTCGAGAGTGTTCATCCGTTGGCAACATTCTGTACATGTGCTTCCTCTGGACCGACGCAGTCTCGTTGCCAGACTCTCTGTCAATGATACCACATCGCACACTAGAATTCTCTCCCCCCCCCCTCTTACCTTGCATGGCAGGCAATTTTTCGGTGTATTTTGGTTTGGGAGCAGACCACTAGTTACCATAAACGGCGCCAATTTGCACTTTACAATTCTAATTTGCTTTGCACATGTGCGGTATTTTCAGTGATCTCCCACATTTTAATTCCTTTGTTCTCTTAATGTCAGCCCTCTTGATGTAAACATTTAGTACCTTCCTTTTCCTAAAACATGCAGAGTTTCAGCCCGAGTTGAATTTGACCAGGTTGAAATTACCGCGTAAACAAACGCGCATGCACACAATTTACTCTTCCTTCATAATGCCGTTATGCAAGGGAATAGGCTGAAAACACCTTTGTCTGAACCGTCTATGCGCTGGGACACGCGCGTGTGTGTGTGTGTGTGTGTTGGTGTTTTGATTTCGTAAAAAAAACCGGAGCAAAACCGGAGCATACGGAATTTACAAAATTAAAATGACTACGAAATATAATTGATTTACAGTAATGTAGATGCAAAAACACAGAGTTTCGTGCATGTGATAGTGTGCTGTATCAAGCCTAAACAGTAAAGGGATTGTATTGTATGTACTGTATTTATTCATATTTCTCTAGGGCAGTCCCCACAGACCTATGGTCTCCTTACTGGGTACCCTAGCCAATCTAGGATTGCGATACGAAATTGACTTGGTGAAGCAGCAAGGCAGACCGATGCCGGAACTGAGTTCCAGCGGCTAAGAAAGAAAGAGAGGAATATCCAAATCGAGAGGAGGCTCGTGGCAGTACAAGTCCAAGCGAGACTTGAGACCTTGAGCAGGTGTGGCTACGTGCCTCAGAATTGGCACGAAGGCAGAAAAGGCGGCACAGAAGTGGACTGGCAGAAGAATGAAAACACATCTGAATACTTAAGGGAGAACGGATGAAGTAAAATGATGACCTGGAACATATTCAAACACCAAGGTCCTCACATCCTGGCGTGGGTTTCACCGGCTGTAGCTGAACAACTGAGTTGCACTAATCAGCCGGAAACGACAGGTAAACGTCTCCGGCAAATTTGGCTGACAGCCACACAGCCGGACAGATGCTTGAAATCACACCAAACTCCTGAGAACGCGCAGGTTGAGTACCAACTGTGCCACCACAGGATAAGTGCACACCATGCTGTGGCAGCTGGCGTGGCTTGAATGCCGTGTCGATGTCACTGTCAAGTGGCAGGACCTTCTTGGACGGAGTCAGAAGGTCAACTACGTACTTCACATTGCTGTGTGGTTGGGTGACGACCAGAAAGTCACGTTCTGGGATATACTCCAGGGTCAGCTCATCACCATTGCGAAACTTGAACTTTAGTTCAGCATCCCCCCTATCGGTATGATGCCCGGCATGCGGTGGGTTGTAGCACAGCGTCTTGCCACACACAGCATTGCCCGATGAGAAGAGAGTGACAGCAAAACTGGCATAGCTATTGAAATCACTTCCAGTGTTATTTCTAAAAGATGCTTTCATTGTCTCTGATTGTACGTTCACAAAGAATCCAACGCCAATTGCCGGGTCTGAGATCTCTTCTCCATTGCCGGCATTGTGCTGCTCTAACTTGATACACCACTTTATCGCAGGTCCAATGACTTTTTTGGGCATTTCCTTCATTGCGGCGACAACCCTATGGGGTTTGTTTTCGCGCAGCTTCGCTGGCAATCCATATTGATTCATGTCCGCTGGCTCCTCATCTTCCAATGTGGCGCGCAGCCCAGTTGACGACAGCTGGATGCCGGTAACTTTAACTCTATGGGTCTGGCGCAGTGCAGTTGATTTGGAAACGTGGCCGAAGGTCCACGGTGGTTTTGACACATTGGCAATGGCTGGCGAAGCTTTAGCGGGAAGTCCAGCAATGGTAGCATTCACAGAGTATTTGCCTGGTCCGTGTGTGGGAGTGAAGTTGAACATGGCTTTGCAGTTCCCAACCGTAATACTGCTTACTTCTTGAACTTTGCCATCAGGAGTAGAAACTGTACAGCTAATAGCACTGCTGTTGATATTTGATGTAGGGTGTCCGCTTGCATCTGCCAGGTCCACGGTGGCTGTGACGGGCAAGTCAGTATAGCAGTTAGCTGGAAGACGTAGGCTGCTCTCTACGCTAGTGGCTGTGGACGTCACACGACCAAACTGCTTCAGAGAATCCTTTACATCACAGAGATCAAGCACTGCTGATAAAGATCCGTCATCATGGGCGAGGGTGGACTCTTTCCGCGAGGCCTGCAGCAAGCTCTTCAAACGAGCATCCACTAAGCCGTTCAGGATAAGTCGCTGCGATGGGCTGGCGCATTCCACCATTGACTTTGCAAAAGCTGACGCACACATCACATTCTCCTGCAGTCGTTTCAATGCTATCTCTTGATTCTCCAGAGCAATGCTCTTCCTTTGGTAGACTCTGTCCACATCTGAAAGGAGCTCCTTCAGTCGAACGTCAACAAGCCGCTTGGCTTCAATGGCAGCTTTCTCCATGTTCTTGCTCGTTGCATGGAAATTGGTGGTGAGAGTCTCCTTGGACCGTTCAATGCTCCTCAGTGTTGCTTCAAACTGTGTCACCATCTTGTCCAACCGTGGAACATCCTGCCACATCTTTGTTGTTTTGATGGCGTTTGGTATGAATGTGTATTCATGCAACTTGTGATCCACCAATACACAATCTCTACAGATACAC